GTCATTTGCACTCTGTCCTATTCAGCAACAGTATCTGAAACATTATTGATCTTTTTGGAGAATAATTTATTAGAAATCGATTCGAGTGAGTTAGTTGCATTCCTCTCAATTTATTCCTCGATATCAATAGATGCACCGTCCTGATTCTGAATTTGGTGTCTCTTTTCACTTCTAATATCGCCAATAGTCTTGAAGTAGATGCTATGGTCATACTGGTGCATTTTTAAGCAATTGCTGTCCAGCTTACTATTTGATTGATAATTGAAAGTACCGCAGCAATTTATCTTAATCTCCTCTGGAGACAATTTCCATCTGGATTGTTTGAGACTCTGGAATTTTATCGGAGTTTCGTCGGAAGACATGTTCCAATTATCTTGCCTCGTTTGTTGATTCTCGAACCACCTAATTTATTTTTGTTCATATTAAAAACATATTAAAAACTTTTTTATATGTATTAAATTAGATTCGTATCTAGTTGTTTATTATTATACGTAATCTTTAGAAGATTTTTTAAATAATAAATATTATCGGATGTCTCTCTCTCTCTCTCTCTCTCTCTCTCTCTCTCTCTCTCTCTCTCTCACCTCTGCGATCGAAAACGATTGTAACCACGGGCAAAGGCTGCCCATCTCTCAATCCTCTGGAAAATATATTCAGTTTCTTCGCTCCACCATTCCGACAGATTTTTTTTAACCATAAGGTCCCTGTTCTCTGTTATGGTTATCATTTTGATATTGCAAACGAAGACGAGAGTTTATGATGACCAAGAGTTATATGATGATTATTTGTGAAGTTTCATAATGATACAAATAAATGATCAGACAAGATAGAGACTGTAGAAAGAGTTCACAATTGTAAAAGTGATTCAGCCTGGTCGGATTGATTTATAAGTTTCGCAAGAAGCACTTCAAATGCGGAAGCCATTGATGATTGTGGCCATGACCTCGCATAATAACGCCATGCGTTATTATCGCGTCAGTTTTCGTCAATTAGAAATACATCGCAAAAAATTGTGCCAAGATAAAACATCTCAACACAAAATATCTTTGCAAAAATGAATAGACTAATATTATTTATATTTTATTTTGATTTTAGCAATAAATATTTTAATTTAATGGGACAAAAATGAAATATAATAATTAATCACAATTGAAAATGCAAAAAGTAGGATGAAATTCAGTTTGAAATTATAAAAAATGAAACAAAAGTTTTTATCATTTATTTAGAGAATTTCCAGCACACTTCATTCGAAAAATAACTTGAAATGTTCTTAAGATGTTCAGAGGACATCATTTGGAAAGGCATATCAAAATTTTCAAAACTAAAATTAACAGGCTAAAAACTCCGGATATTTGACTTAAAATTCTGGGCGCATATAAAAAAATTGCATATAATAAAATTGATCAGAAATCAGAAATAAATACATAATTATTTCACATTTAATTGTTCATTAGTGGAACTAAATTTAATGTAAGAAATTGATTAATCATATATAGTCGATTATTTTCACTCAACTGTAATTGGTTAGTTTCTTACAGGATTACATCTATGTTAAATGTTACGTTTATTTATTTGTTAAATAAAATATAAAATGCATTTAACAATGATCCATACAATTCTAAACTAAATTTAATAATAAATTTTATTAGAGAAACAATTACACAAAAACTTTTTGTAAATATTGCTTATAAAAATAGCAAATAAATAAACATAAGCTTTAATTTATATTAATATATTTTTTAATAA